TTTTTTAATTTGAAGAACGATTGGATTTTCAGAATACTTAATATAGGCATATGATTTTTGACAAAGGAATAAAAAATTAAATTTGTTTAATACTAGAACATTAGACTGATTGTTTCTTTCATTAGTCTTCAAGTGCTGGCAATGTGCTGGAACAGTCTTTAAAAGCAAATGATAGCTCACTCTCAAGTACTAATTTAAGAGCATGGCATGTTTCCAAAACTCATTTAAGAAACTAAGTGGTTAATTAAAACTTAAATCAGATTATTTGAGTGGGTTTTAATAAGTGTGCTGTGGTCCAGGCAAAAATGATGATGGAATATCCTCTGAAAATTTTATGTCATTATTTTGGGGACCAATCCAAAGATCATTTACTACAGATAAATAATGATAAAATGAATATAATGATGACAGCAATTTTGAGCTAGTTAAGAATTTGTCAAATTGTTGTGAATACCTTCTGAATAAATGTTAAATTTGAGTGAACAAGGAAAATGGCACATTATCTAAATTATGTTTTTATTGGCATAGATAATAGTGTGATATTACCCAAAATGACTAAGGATCAGAAGGCTAAACAGACCCAAGCATTAGATACGTAAATACTTAATAATTGCCTCTAATAAAAAGAGAGTTTAAAATAAATTGTGTCTTTGAATTGTGATTTTTTTATTATAAAAATGAGAATTAAAACTAAAGATTTGATAAGTTATAATCTTTTTAAAAGAGATTTTAATTCAGTACCCTCTTCATATCTGATTCCAATTCCCCAGAGGCAAACATCTTCAGCTCATTTTAGCTCTTACAGTATTTACTTCCATATATGCAAATACCGTTGCCCTGTGATATGGTTTGGTAGTGTCCCCACCCAAATCTCATCTTGAATTGTAACTTCCACAATTCCCATGTGCCCTGGGATGAACCCAGTGGGAGTAACAGGTGGTTCTTTTCTGTGCTGTTCTAGTGATAGTGAATACGTCTCATGAGATCTGATGGTTTTTAAAATGGAGTTTCCATGCACAAGGTCTCTCTCTTTGCCTGCTGCCATCCACGTAAGATATGACTTGCTCCTCCTTGCCTTCTGCCATGATTGTGAGGCCTCCCAGCCATGTGGAACTGTAAATCCATTAAGCCTCTTTATTTTGTAAATTGTACAGTCTCAGGTATACCTTTATTAGCAGCGTGAAAATGGATTAATATAATAAATTGGTACTGGGAGAGTGGGGTGCTGCTGAAAAGATACCTGAAAATGTGGAAGTGACTTTGGAACTGGGTAACGGGCAGAGGTTGAAACAGTTTGGAGGGCTCAGAAGAAGACAGAAAAATGTGGGAAAGTTTGCAACTTCCTAGAGTCTTGTTGAATGGCTTTGAACAAAATACTGATAGTAATATAAAAAATGAAATTCAGGCTGAGCTGCTTCAGATGGAGATGAGGAACTTGCTGGGAACTGGAGCAAAGATGACTCTTGCTATCTTTTAGCAAAGAGACTGGTGGCATTTTGCTCCTGCCCTTGAGATTTGTGGAACTTTGAACTTAAGGGAGATTTAGGGTATCTGGCAGAAGAAACTTCTAAGCAGCAAAGCTTTCAAGAGGTGACTTGGGTGCTGTTACATACATTCAATTTTAAAAGGGAAACAGATCATAAAAGTTCAGAAAATTTGCAGCCTGATGATGGCATAAAAAAGAGAAACGTTTTTTCTGAGGAAAAATTCAAGCTGGCTGCAGAAATTTGCATAAATAGCGAGGACCCAAATATTCATCCCCAAGACAATGAGGAAAGTATCTCCAGAGCACGTCAGAGACCTTTGCAGTAGCTGCTCTCATTAAAGACCTAGAGGCTGAGAAGGAAAAAGTGGTTTCACAGGCTGGGCCCAGGGTCCCTCTGCTGTGTGCAGTCTAGGGATTTGGTGACCTGTGTCTCAGCCACTCCAGCTGTGACTGAAAAAAGCCAAGGTACAGCTTGGGCCACGTCTTCACAGGGTGCAAGCCCCTAGCCTTGGCAGCTTCCACATGGTGTTGAGTCTGTGGGTGCACAAAAGTCAAGAACTGAGGTTTGGGAACCTCTGCCTAGATTTCAGAAGATGTATGGAAACACCTGGATGTCTAGGCAGAAGTTTGCAGGATGCTCAGGGAGAACCTCTGCTAGGGCAGTGCAGAAAGGAAATTTGGGGTCCGAGCCCCCACACAGAGTCACTGCCTAGTGGAGCTGTGAGAAGAGGGTCACCATCCTCCAGATCCCAGAATGGTAGATCCACTGAGAGTTTGCACCATGCTCCTAGAAAAGACACAGACACTCAATGCCAGCCCATGAAAGCAGCTAGGAGGGAGGCTGTATCCTGCAAAGCCACAGGGGTGGAGCTACCTAAGACCAGGGGAACCCACCTCCTGCATCAGCATGACCTGCATATCAGACATGAAGTCCAAGGAGATCATTTTGGAGCTTTAATATTTGACTGCCCTGCTTGATTTCAGACTTGCATGGGGCCGGTAGCCCCTTTGTTTTGGCCAATTTCTCCCATTTGGAATGGCTGTATTTACCCAATGCCTGTATCACCATTGTATCTGGGAAGTAACTGCTTGCTTTTGATTTTACAGGCTTATAGGAGAAAAGGACTTGCCTTGTCTCAGATGAAACTTTGGACTGTGGACTTTTGAGTTAATGCTGAAATGAGTTAAGGCTTTGGGGGACTATTGGGGAGGCATGATTGGTTTTGAAATGTAAAAAGAATGTTAGATTTGGGAGGGGCCAGGGGCGGAATGATATGTTTGGCTGTGTCCCCACCCAAATCTCATCTTAAATTGTAACTCCCATAATTCCCATGTGTTGTGGGGGAAACCTGGTGGAAGGTAATTGAGTTATGGTGAAGGACTTTTCCCATGTTGTTCTCCTGATAGTGAATGAGTCTCACAAGATCTGACGGTTTTAAAAATGAAAGTTTCCTTCCACAAGCTCTCTCTCTTTGCCTGCCGCCATCCATGTAAGATGTGACTTGCTCCTCCTTGCCTTCCACCATGATTGTGAGGCTTCCCCAGCCATGTGGGATTGTGTAAGTCCAATAAACCCCTTTCTTTTGTAAATTGCCCAGTTTTAGGTATGTTTTTATTCACAGTGTGAAAATGGACTAATACACACTGTTATTTAAAGGTGTTTAATATTAGCTATTGATTTTTTACTATGGAAGGTGAGGATTTAGCTTACCTATAGTTACATACCCTCCTTCCATGTCCCTTTTTCTAACACATTATGATTTTACCGTAATTCTTGGTAAGATGATATTCAGCATTTAAAATACTAGGAGTATGTGAAAATTACTTGTAATTAAGCCATGTAAGGGGATTAAGATTTCATTTCCTGCTCTGAGCAACTTTTTGTTTTCCTTGGAATTGATAATTGTCTCTGTTGTTTGCTTAGTTTTATATCATGAATCCTAAACCTCTCTGCTAGAAGTGTCACATTATAAAGTGATACAACAATTGCTATCTTTCCTTCTCTTTTCTCTCCTCCTTCCCTCCTTCTTTTCCTCCCTTTCTCTTTCTCCCTTCTTCCTTCCCTCCCTCCCTCCTGCCCTCCTTCCTTCCTTTCTTTCTTTTCAATCTTTCTTTCGCTTTCTTTCTTTCCTTTCTCTCTCTCTCTTTCTTTCTCTCTTTCCTTCCTTCTTTTCTTCTCTCCCTTTCTCTCTTTGTCTCTCTGCACTCCCGGTGCTCTTTTTTACTTCAGTCTGGACTGGTTGCTCTCTCAACCAGCCTGCTATACAGTTCTTGCCCTGGGATCTTCCTTCACTGTCATACTGAGTATCCCGTTTGCTTTTCCTTACAGTTTATTGGCTTGCTTGTATTGGCTGGACCACTTCCTCTAGTATTTTCTTGGACAAAGTAAATAAGAAATAAATCTTTTCAGACCTCACAAGTTTGAAAGTTTCTTATTCTATCATTGCATTTACTTGATAATTTGGTGAGGTATAAAATGCTGGGTTTGAAATACTTTTTCCTCAGTACTGTGAAAGCTGCTTACTATTATCTTCTAGACTTAAAGCTGCTGTTGAGAGACCAGTGACATCCTGATTACTGATGCTGTGTTTTTGACTTGTATTGTTTTCTGTACTGAAAGCTTTAGGCTATTCTCTTTGTCCTAGTGATATGAAATTTCAGAATGTATGCATTTTCCCATCTATTGTATGGGTATTTGATGGGTCTTTTTAAGGTGGAAAGATATATTTTTTAGTTGTAGGAAATTGTCTTTAATTTTTAAAAATAATCTTTCAAACTTAGTATTCTCTTTTTTCTCTTTCTGGGACTACTCTTAATCATATGCCTGCCAGTACTTGTAAGTCATTTTCCTTGGGTTGGTCCGTTTCCCACACTGGAAATTCTCTGGGAATGAAAAGTCAGGTTGCCAGTGTTTGAAGGTCCAATAAAAGAAAATGGCTATGAAATTTCACCATTCAGTATATGAACACTCAACCATCCATCAACTGAAAGTGGAAACCTCAAGCTCAGAGACTGTCTTTCTGGTTCAACTTCACCAGAAAATAAGTTTCTCATCAAACAAGTTAGAGGACAAAGTAATCATTTAGCTGTCTAGGGTACAGGAGGAGACATGGGGGTCACAGGGCTTTCTATAGACTTTCAACCAATTCTACTATTTTGGTCACACTCTCACTTCCATGAAAGTTACCATGTACTTCCAAGTTCTGAACTTTTCCAGGGTCCTAGGGTTTGCTTGTTGTTGGAATTCCCTCACTGCCTGGTTTGGTTTCCCCTTTATGAGGTTTGTTAAGTCAGTTACCATATACTCAGCTGCTTTCTTTCACTAAAAATTTCTTTGCATCTGTCTCCATTACAATTTTTTTCCTTGTAATATTTTACTTTTTGAACTCTTAACTATTATTTGAGTATGATTTAGAGAGAAGAGAAAATACAGGTTTAAAGAAACTATGTCTACTGCATCTTTATTACAAGGCTATATGTAATATATAAGTATAATATACAATATTATATTCAGTCACCATGGAGACTGTCAAAAATTACTAGTGTCAACTCTATTGCAAGTCTTCATGGCAGGGTATTGGGAAATGTTTTCAATTAGCAATAATTGTGCCTCAGATAAACCTCATTGGCTATGATACTGCCACTGTGCAAAGCTTATGTTTAATATTTTAAATGTGGATTATGAGATACTGTAAGAAACATTTTCAGTTGCATGAAATAAATAATCTGACAAGAATCTTTGCCTCCTGTTATCTGAGATTTTTCATGTAAATATATTCTACATGAAAAATTTTACAGCAGGAAGATCATATAGCTTTACCACATAGATTCATTGTTTATCATATTGACAGTAAAAAACACAAAAGAAAAATGTTAGAGGTTATTCATACTCCCACCATTTAAAAAGAATAATCAATTATTATACAGAGCAAAAAGTAAAAGTACAATTCCCACTTCCAGGAAGATGGAGTAGATTACTTTTTCCAATTCTTCCCACTAAGAACAACTAAAAACCCTCAACATTATATACAAAACGAACGTAAGAGAAGAGTCTGAAGTGGGAAGAGCAGAAAGCAGACTGGCAATGAACCTAGGAACCTGAGGATCAACATGATGGTGAGTTCCCTGGGGTTTTCTTTTTGCCTTCTATATCCCAGCCCTGGAGCTTAAAAACCTGGTTACCCAGAAACACTAACTAGCATCGCCAAAACAACCAACCAACCAAACAACCCTGACAAAAGCCTGCTCTCTCTAGCCAAAGGAGTAGGAAAGAGTCAACCTATAAAGAGGCAACCAGAAATCTTTTAGACAATATTCATCCTGCTATAGGCAAACACCACAGAAAAACCGGGGCCCCACCCTCACCTATACCAGCGAAGGCCACGTGGTGGAGCCCAGCCTTCCTGCCTCAACAGGAGGACATAAAAAGTCCTAAGTCACTTTGATTCCTGGGATAGGTAACAAGGCAGGCCCCCTGCTGTGTCACTGAAGACCAAGTGGAGAGTCTCGACCTCAACCTCCACCAGGCAGCAAAGTAGCTACCTACCCCTTCCCACTGATATGGTGTCAAACAGGCCTATTGGAGTCAGGACTTTTACCATTATCCAGCATTAATGAGACCACCCCACTATGGATGGCTGGAACTCTCACTGCTATCCCACTCTTCAAAATACAATTTATCAAAATTTGTAGGACACAGCTAAAGCAGTGGGGAAGAAATTTATAGCATGAGATGCTTACATTAAGAAAGAGAAAAAGTATCAAATTAGTAACCTAAGTTCCCACCTCAAAAGCCCGGGGGGAAAAAAAAGAGGAAAATAAACCCAAAGTACGCAGAAGGAAGGAAATAATAAAGAGCAGAAATCTGTGAAATTGAAAACAGAAAGCAATAGAGAAAAATCAATGAAACAAAGTGCTATTTTTTTTTTCTTTTTTTGGTAAAGGTCAATAAATTTAACAAACCTCTAGCAAGACTAACAAAGAAAAGGAGACACAAATTATTAATATCAGGAATGAAATAGAGGATATCACTACAGAGTCTGCAGCTGTCAAAAGGATGAGGAAATACTATAAACATTTGTCACAAGTAAGTTTGAAAACTTAAGAAAAATAGAACAATTCCTCAAAAAACACGAACTACCACAACTCACCCCAAATAAAATAGATAATTTGAATATCTTTGACATTTTCAAGAAAATCAGACTCATAATTAAAAACTCCCAACAAAGAAATGTTCAGGCCCTGATGGTTTCAGTGGATAATTCTATGAAATGTTTAAAGAAGAATTAATATCAATTCTACACAATCTTTCCCAAAAAATAGAAGAGGGGAAGTTTACAAATTCATTTAATAAAACTACTATCCTGATAATCAAAGCCAATGACAATACACAACACAAAAATGAAAACTGTGGACCAACATCTCTCATGAATATAGATGCAAAAATCCTTAACAAAATATTAGCTAATAGAATTTAGCAAGATACAAAAACAGTTATATACCATGACCGGCAATATTTATTCCAAGATGCTTGGCTGGTTCAATATTTAAAAATTAGTCAATGTAATCTATCATATTAACTGGTTAAAAAAGAGAAGTTACATTATTATATCAATTACTGTAGGAAAAGCATTTATAAAAATTTGACACATTCATGATAAAAACTCTCAGAAAAATAGGATAGAGAGAAACTTCCTCAACTTTATAAAGAGCATGTATATACCTATACCTACATTATACTTAATGAGTAAAAAAGTAAATGCTTACCTTTTATGATAGGCAAAAAGGCAATTATGTCAGCCTTATCACTCTTATTCAACATAGTGCAATAAGGTATGAAAAGGAAATAAGTAAATAAACTGGAAGGAAAGAAACAGAAGTATCCCTATTTGCAAATGATATGATTGTCCACATAAAAAGTCCTAAGGAATCCACAAAAACAAATTTCCTAGAACTAAGAAGTGAATTCAGCAAGGTCACAGGATATGAAATAAAGATAAAAAAAATCAGTTGTATTTCTATACCAGCAGTGAATTCCAGGACACTGAAATTCAACATACAATACCATTTTCAATGCCTAAAAAAAAGAGAGATATTTAGGTGTAAATCTAACAAAACATGCACAGGACTTGCATGCTGAAGACCACACAGTGCTGATGAAAGCAAATGAAGAAGATATACATAAATGGACAGGCATTCCACGATCATGGATTGGAAGATTCAATATAGAGAATGTATCAATTCTCTCCAATATTTTTCTTTATTTATTTACATTTTACATAAAAACTTTAAATAGAGATAGGGTCTTGCCATGTTGACCAGGCTGGTCTCAAACTCCTGGCTTCAAGCAATTGTCCCATTTCAGACTCCCAAAGTGTTGGTATTACAGGAGTGAGCCGCTGTGCCCAGCCAGCTCTCTCCAAATTGATATGCAGGTCAATCTCTTTTTAAAAAAAAATTTTTTTCAGACCAAGTCTCACTTTGTCACCCAGGCTGGAGTGCAGTGGCACAATCTTGGCTCATTATGACCTCTGCCTCCTGGGTTCAAGCATTTCTCCTGCCTCAGCCTCCTGAGTAGCTGGGATTACAGGCGTGTGCCACCATGCCTGGTTAATTTTTGTATTTTTAGTAGAGACAAGGTTTTGCCATGTTGGCCAGGCTGGTCTCGAACTTCTGGCCTCAAGTGATCCACCCACCTCTGCCTCCCAAAGTTCTAGAATTACAGGTGTAAGCCACCGTGCCCAGCTGCAGGTCAATTTCTGCAAAAATTCCTGGAAGATTTTATTGCAGATATGTATAAGATTATCTTAAAATTTTTATGAAGGGGCAAATACATAACAATGTATAAAACAAATTTGAAACATAGGAATTAGTCTGCTTCATTTTGAGACTGATTTTATAGCTATTGGAATCAAGATTGTGTGGTATTGTTGCACAGACAGACAGACCCAGAACAGAGGAACAGAACCCAGAAGAGAACCCAGAAATTGCCCCACACAAATATACCCAACTGACTTGATAAAGGTGCAAAATCAATTCAATAAAGGAAAAATAGTCTTTTTAACAAGCGGTGCTGGAGCAATTGAACATCTACAGGCAAAAAACCAGGCAATTTCAAAAGGTTACATACTGTATGGTTCCATTTATATGACATTCTTGAAATGACAAATTACAATTGACCCTTGAACAACATGAATTTGAATGACACAGGTCTACTTATTTTTTAATTTTAAATATTTTGTTTTTGAAATGAAAACTCCCATATTTATTACTGAATCCAGCCTACCAGTGCACCTGCAGCACATACACAGAGAAAAAATGTATATTTCTAATAAAACATGTTCAACTGTCCAGATAGTGGTGGTATTTTCAGCTTGATATGGTAAGATGGTTGTGACCTTGACACAGTGTAAATATGTGTGCATTTCACAGGCAGTTCTTTATAGACCCAGCTTGGTTCTTCTCCAATGTCTTCTTCCGTACCTGACTTTATTACCAGTTTTCATTGCATTCACTGGGGAATGGGACGATTTTGCTTTTGTTTCTTGGCCAGGAAGTGCTTAATTCCGAAAGTCTTGTGAGAAGGTATGGGGGTAAGTGGAGTCAAGCACGCACCACGATGGCAGAGAAAAAAAGAGAGCTAACATTTTAAAATTTTAATTGTAATAGTTTTTTGAGTACAAGTGGTTTTTGGTTACTTGGATAAGCTCTTTAGTAATAATTTCTGAGATTTTGGTGCACCTGCTTTTTAAAAAATTACACTTTTTATTTGGAGTTAATTGTAGATTCACATGCAGTTGTAAAAAAATAATACATCGAGATCCCATATACCCTTAACCAGGTTCCCCAAGTAGTAGCATCTTACAAAATTACAGCACAAAATCACAACCAGGGTGTTGACATTGATATAGTCAAGAACATTTCCAGGACCACAAAGATTGCTCATACTGCCCTTTTACAGCCACATCCACTGCTCACCGTCTCCTAACAGTTACTAATCTTTTCTGTTTCTACACAGACGACCCTTGAACAATGCAAGGGTTGGGAGACAGTTGAAAACCTGCATATAACTTCTGACTACCTCAAAACTTGACTACTAATTGCTTACTATTGACAGGAAGCCTTACCAATAACAGGAACTGTCAAGTATCACATAAATAGACTAGTATCCACACATATTGTATGCATTGGATAATACGCAGTAATAATATGTCCCAGACAGCTTTCCAGGTCAGTGCACCTAGTACCTTTCTCTCTCTTTTTTTAAATGACTATAGGGTGGTCCATTGCAGAAATACAGAATTTGTTTTCTCTATTGATGGGCTTTCATATTTGTTATGAATTGAATTGTGCCCTTCACAAAAAGCTATGTTGAAGTTGTAATCTCCTCTACCTAGGAATGCAACCTTGTTTGGAAATAGGAACTTTATAAGGTGATTGAGTTAAAATAAGGTCCTTGGGGTGGGCCCTAATCCAATATGACAATGACCAGTAAAGAGAGAAATGTGGACACAGAGACAGACATGCACACAGGGAAGACTGTGTGAAGACAGGGGCTTGGAGGGATGCATGTACAAGCCAAGGAACACAGAGATTGCTGGCAACCACAGAAACTAGGAAGAAGCAAGGAAGGATTCCCCTTCAGGTTTCAGAGGA